ACAGCTGGGGCTACAGAGAGACCCTGTCTCAAAAAGACCAAAAAAAAAGCAGATAGCCAGGCGTAGTGGCAAAGGCCTGTAGTCCCAGCACTTGGGAGGCAGAGGCAGGCGGATCTCTATGAGTTCAAGGCCAGCCTGGTCTACATAGTGAGTTCCAGGACAGCTGGGGCTACAGAGAGCCCCTGTCTCAAAAAGACCAAAAAAAAAAAAAACTCACATCATCCTTGAAAACTAAATAAAGGTTTTGGCTTCATTAAAAAAAAAAAAAAAAAAAAAAAAAAAAAAAAGCAGACCTTAGTAAATAGCTCACTGATACAGTGCTTTCTTAGCTAAGGCCATTAAGTTTGATTCCTAGCTCTACAAAAAACAGAGAACAAGAGAAAGACACATTCATGGGGCTAGGGATCTGGCTTAGTGGAAAAAATGCTTGTATAAGCATGAAGACCTAAATTTGGATCCCCAGCACCCATATGAAATCCAGGAGTAGTAGTATATACCTGTAACCCTAGTGTAGGAGTGGGGAAGACAGGCAAATCTCAGGGGCTCATTGAATAGCCAGCCTAGCAAATTGGTTCATTGAGAGTCCTTGCCTCCAAAAATAAGCTGAAGTGCTGGTGAGATGGCTCAACATGTAAAGGTGCTTGCCACCAAGCCTGACAACCTGAGTTGATACCTGGGACCCACATGGTGGAAGGAGAGAACTGACCCCAAAAGTTGTTCTCTGACCTGGGTACACGTGCATGTACGTACTCGTGCATACACACACACACACACACTAAATTAAATAAATAAATAAATGGGAAATTTTAAATTATAAGGTAGAAAGCAATAGAGAAAGATACTTGATATCAACCTCTGGCTTCCTCGCAAGTACCCGGGGATAAGTATGCCCATGCACACACACACACGCACGCACACACACACACAATAAGTGAGGGGGGAATTTTTAATTATAAGGTAGAAAGCAATATCTAGATACTTAATGTCAACCTCTGGCTTCCATGCAAGTACATGGGGGTGAGCATGTCCATGTACACAAACATAAACCACATGCATGCAAGTAATATTACTTAGAACAGATAAGAAGTTGATTGTGATCCTGATGTTAATCAAGAGGCCATCCTTCTTAGGCAGCTCCATTTGCTCTTCCATGCTGCCCAGCCCTCCCTGAGGTGGGTGTTTGACAGTTAGCTGAAGCATTCTTCCACCTCTCCTGTCCTGGTGCCACTCCCCCTGCTTGCCTTAGAGGATGCTGTCTCTGTTGTTGTCATTACCCCTTGCTTCCTGCTCACTTCTCTCTCTTGTCTGTATAGAATTGGATCCAGCACTCACTGGTACCCGAACTTTGGGTGTAGTTATGGCGTCTCCCTTTCTACGTGATATGATCTGCCGCCATCAGGCTTTGTTCTGGGCACTGAATGTCTTTGTGATTCTAATGATCTGTGGCTTTCCAAAAGGCCCACTGTATAAACAGATATAGAGTATATTTGTGGTATTAACATTTTCATGGGGAAATTATGGGGAAAAAAGTCTTCTGGTGTTGGTGATGTAATTCAGTGGTCCATCTCCAGCACCCCCATCAAAAATATACTTGCTAGAAGATCTTTAGTTTGTTTTTTGAGAGTTTCTCACACTGTAGCCCAGGCTAGCCTTGAACCTCTCAGCAATCTTCCTATCTCACCTTCTAGAATACTTTTACTATAGGTAGCATTGCAGATGTGAGTCACCATTCCTGGCAGTCTTTGATATGACCTCATGAAGCCTACATGGTTTCCTTGCTCATGTGAGAAGGTATTCAAGTAACTACTTTTTAAAATTATGAGTCAAGGTCATGCTATGTGAGCCAGCACACTTGGTTTTAAGTTATCTCACACTTTTCCTGCTTCAGAACTAGAATCACCATTTCACAATTTTTTTTTAAGTTTTGAGACAGAATCTCATGAATCCCAGGCTAACTTCAAACTTGCTATCTAGCTAGGGTTGACTTTTAGTCCTCCTGCCTTTACCTCCTGAGTGCTGGGATAATAGACATACCCAGTTTATGCAGTGCTAAAGATTGAACCTAGGGCAAATACTCCACCAGTTGAGCCACAGACCCACCTCTTGAGTTCTGGGGTTGTTTTGTTTTGTTTTGTTGTTTTTTCAGACAGGGTCTCCCTGTACCCCCAGCTAGCCTGGAATTCATTACGTAGACCATTCTGGCCTCAGTCTCACAGAGATCTGCCTGCCTCTGCCTCCAGAGTGCTGGGATTAAAAGCGTGCGCCACTACACTGAGCCACCTCTTAGTTTTTGAGATGCTGTCTTATTTTGAAATTCAGTCTTGAATTTGCAGTGTCATTCAGACTGGCCTCAGACTCCCAGGTGTTGAGATTACAGACATGTGCCACCCTGACCATCAAGATTGGATTGTTTTATTTAATCCCAGGTGGAGGCAGGGGGATTTCTGTGAGTTCAAGGCCAGCCTGGTCTACATAGAGTTCCAGGCCAGTTGGGGCTACAGGGAGACCTGTTTCAAAAAGACCAAAAAAAAAAAAAAAATAGAAATAATTATAACTTAGCCCAACAAACTGGGCGTGGTGGCATACGCCTTTAATCCTAGCACTCAGGAGGCAGAGGCAGGTGGATCTCTGAGTTCAAGACTAGCCTGGTCTGCATAGCGAGTTCCAGGTCACCTGGCTCTGTAGGGAGAACCTGTCTCAAAAAGACCAAAAAATAATAATAATAATAATAATGGATGACTCCATTCTACATATACACAAAAGACTGATAGCAAAGAGCATGGAGCACTGAAGGAGCACAAGTAGAGAGCTGGCCACTGTATGTGTAACATTGCCCTGTGTCTGTCTTTGTCCTTTGCAGGCTGTGAACCCAGGCAGGTCCTTGTTCCTGCTGTATGCCCTCAAGAGCTCCCCAAGACTTGGCCTGCTCTACCTGTACCTATTTGATTACACAGACTCCTTCCTGCCCTTCATTCATACCATCTGCCCTCTGCAGGAAGATGGCTCTGGGGAGGACATCCTCACCAAGCTTCTGGTAGGTCTGCAGAATACCTGGAGTAGAATAATTCTACCGTCTATCCCTTGGTGTTGTATACAACTGGAGAGAGCCAGCAGCAGCCAGTCTTCCTGTGAGTTTTTCAGGAAGAGTCGTCTGCAGAAGGAAAGAAACTGAGACCTTCCCATTCCTAGGAACCCATTTCATTTTATACACTATATAGCCAAAGTGATGACCCTTTAGTCAGGAAATATTTTTTGTAAAAAGCTTTGCAGCTGGGTGTGGTGGCACATGCCTTTAATCCCAGCACTCGGGAGGCAGAGGCAGTCGGATCTCTGTGAGTTCAAGGACAGCCTGGTCTACATAGTGAGTTTTAAGCCAGCTGGGGCTACAGGGAGACCCTGTCTCAAAAAGACCAAAAAAAAAAAAAAAAAGTGTTGCTTTTGTTATAAAAGAAGTCTAAGTCCAGGCCATCCTAGGGATATAGGAAGTGATTATAGGTCCAGAATACCCTAAAGGATTAAATATGTAGACCTTCTCATTTGGACAGTATCTGGTATACCATAAGACAGGATTTGGATCTGCCCTGAGGCCTCACAACAGTAAGCCATGGCCCATCTCATTGGTGGAGTTGTCATATCAGCTGACCATAGGACGCCACATAGGGATGGCTACCAGCAATGGATGTTATGTGTTGTCCTCCATTCCTGTGGGACACCTTTCACTGGGTGACTTCTCCAATTCTAATTGGTTATTTGAGAGAATATCCTTTGCTTTGCTACTCTTAGGCTGATACTTCTGATCTCTTTATATCATCAAAAGGTGACATAGGAATTATGATATATAACCCATACCCATGAATGTTAGAATTTCCACATCTCCACAAGACTTTTTAAATACTGCAGTCAAGTGTCTTCTGCCTAACTTGAATGGAGTTTAACACCTGCCTTACACATTGTTCCTGTAGTTACCCAATTTCCAGCTGTTAACTTACCTGCTAGTCTAAGTGCAGAAGTTCTAAAATGTTTCTGTCTCCACCAGCCTCAATAACCCTTGTCTGTTCATCAAACTGATTTTTTAAAATATTTTATTTTATGTGTATGCGTGTATTGCCTGCATGTAGGTAAGTGCACCCATATCGTGCAATGCCTGTGGAGGACAGAAGAGGCTATTGGATACCCTGGAACTGGAATTATGGACTGTTGTTAGCTGCCATGTGGGTGCTAAGATTTGAACCTGGGTCTTCTGCAAGAACAGCCAGTGTTCTTAACTGCTGAGCCATCTCCCCAGCCCCAATCACACTGATTTTTTTAAGTTGCTAACAGATATAATTAAAAGCTTAAGCACACACTATCAGTACAGTGTTTTTTCAAGGTACATGTTTAGGTCTGTTTTTCATTTCCCCCATCATTCTTCCACAGCTAAGATGTTGAACTAGGACATGGTTTGTCAGCCCCATGCAAGAATGGAGGAATAGAGCACTGATCTTAAATTCATTTCAACCCTGTTATTCATAACTCAGATTTACTTTGATTTTTGCCTCTGAGCTTCCACAGTTATACAATAAGAATCTCAGCTAAACCTTTTAGTAACATTTATCTTTTTGTTTGTCTTTTTAGGGAGACCTGGTCTCCCTGTAGCCCCAACCTGGCCTGGAACTAACTATGTAGACCAGGCTGGCCTCGAACTCACAGAGATCCCCCTGCCTCTGCCTCCCAAGTGCTGGGATTAAAGGTGTGCACCACCACACCCAGCACAAAATATTTTTTTTTAAAAGATAAATGTCACCGGTTGTGGTGGCACATGCCTTTAATCCCAGTACTTGGGAGGCAGAAGCAGGCAGATCTCTATGAGTTTCAAGGCCAGCCTGGTCTACAGAGTGAGTTCCAGGCCAGCTGGGGCTACATGGAGACCCTGTCTCAAAAAGACCAAAAAATATATATACATATATATATATATTGTATATATGTATAGTATACATATATGTATATATGTATGAATGTGAGGTGTGTGTGGTGCATACACACTCATGTGTGCAGGTGTGTGCACCTATGCAGAGGCCAGAGGAGGGTGGTAGGTGTCTTCCTGTGTCACTTGCTGCCTTGTTCCTTTGAGGCAGAATCTCTATTGAACCTGGACCTCGAGTGTTTCAGCTAGGCCCCAAAGATCCTCATGTTTCCACCTTCCTCAGTGCTGGGTTTACAAGTGTACAAAGGACTACACTTGGCTTTTATGTAGGTACTGGGGATCTAAACTCCTTAACCATTAAGCCATCTTTCCAACCCCATATTTATCTATTTAATTTATTTTTATTTTATGTGTACAAGTGTCTTGCTTGCATGTATGTAAATGCACCACATGTACACAGTCCCTGAAAGGCCAGAAGAGAACATTGGAGCCCCTGGAACTGGAGGTAAGCACAGGTATTAGTGGTCATATGGGTGCTGGAAAGCAAACCAGTGTCCTCTGGAAGAGCAGCCAGTGTTCTAAGCTTAGCCATCTCTCCAGACCCATTTATTTATTTTTTTGTCTTTTTTGAGACAGGGTCTCCCTGTAGCCCCAGCTGTCCTGGAATTCACTATGTAGACCAGGCTGGCC